ATATATATATATACACACAAATATATATAGTTTTTTTTTCAGACTGAAATTGAAAGACTTCCTCCTCCATACAATACCAACTGTTATGACTATATCAAAGCATGGAAAGAAAATAATGGCACTGGACCCACAACACAAGTAGTAAGAATACTCATTCAATACAAAGTTAGTCACTCTGGGAAATCACAGAAGCAGTTTTTCATCCGTAACATAGAAAGTGACATTTTAAAAGTACATCGTATCTAGTTAAAAGTCAGTACTAACTGATTTCGACATTATTACACGCTGTTCTAACTTGCCCCACTGATTTTTTTCCCCACGGAGTTCAAGTCTAGTGATTTTGCTGGCCCATCAAAGTGCGAGGGTGTTTATAAAGTCAGTCACATACTCTTCAAGTTCAATGAACCCATCAAGGTGTGTGGTCAGTCATCTTGAAGATGATGTTGATTGAGAAGTAAAACCTCATTCACCCACCTCCTTATGAATCCGTCTCCCTAACAGTTTCTAGAAATTCAAGCTCGAAAAAAAAAAAGGTGATAGAGTCGTCCATTTTGTTTATGCACAAGATTAATCCGTCAATACTCCTTAAAAATGAAAGTAATCTACGATGTCAGATTCGTCAATTAAATATCTCCAGATTTTGGATGGAAAGATAACGGATCTTGTAAGAGGTTTAAACTTTCGATCGCTCTTCTAACTAACGACTAGAGCTCTACCTCCCCCCCCCCCCACATTTGAGGGTCAGCAATTCAAATCTGTCGGGGGAAAAGTAAGTTTATCCAGACGAAGAGTGTTTTTGTTTCCGATTTTGTAAGTTAAGAAATCGTTCGCACTAGTTTTTGCCTATTTAATGTGACTTTTCGAAGCTCTTTCTCCAAAGAAAGTAGAAAAGCCACAGTTTAAGTGCTTTACACTTCAATCAAGCTATAATTTTTAACCACCTTGACATGAAAAATTATCTGGGCTTTAGAACGAGCAAATAATTTAAGTAATTTAAAAGTTATTCAACATCTTTTAAAATCGTCACTTTGGCGATTTTCGAAACAAGTTCTAGATGGGGGCAATTCCAGTTAGATTAAAATTATCAAAACCAATGCTTTATTTTCTTTTTGTCCAGATAATACAGCATTGGAGTAAGGTTTTAATTCCAAAAAATTAGACCACAAGTGTTTTTTTATTTTCTCAAAACTGTGGCTTTACTGGCGTTTTACGCCATTTTCTGAATAATCATAGAGGGCGCTGGTTAAAAATAGATTAAACTCGACCTAACAGTGATGAGCAACTGTTGCAAGTTATGAAAATAGAATCAGCCAAAAAGCATGATTTTATGAGACGATAGAGCCTTCGAAAACAATCTAAAGTTTGGGCTCACGAAAAAAGAATCTCAGTACGTAAAAAGTTGATTACTAGGAACAAAAAATTATTTAGAGTGTTATGGAGCTTGTTAATACTCTGTGTAATTGATTTTAAATTGTAACAGATTTCTTTTCACAGTTTCTAGTTATGGTGCGGTTATTTTATAGTCTGAAGTCTTCGAATTGAAAGTCTTCGGGAACTGTATCCACATCGATATTAAATGGCGAGGAAAACATTTTCATGGAAATCGCTGTCTTCTCAGCTTTAAACATTTGGAATCGTATTTGAAATTCGTTGATTAAAATGTCTATATATTGTGCGTATTTTTGAGAAGTAGTAACGTTTACTTTTTCTAAATGTGGAAAGTGAGACACATTATTCTGCAAAAGATGCGGTTTCCACAATTTTAATTTGCTCTCAAAGCCCTGAATTTTATCATACAAATTGTGAATAAACTGTCCTTTGCCTTGAAGTTTCACATTAAGATCATTAAGATGCTGAGTCATGTCGATAAGAAAACCCAAAATTTTCACATCCATTCTTTATTACCAAAATGAGGAAGGGCATATCCCTCCATATCTACGAACAATTGTATTTCGCTATTTAAGATGTATACTCTTTTTAACATTGCACCTCTAGCAAGCAAATGTACTTCGGTATTAAAAACCACATCGCCATATTCAGTTTCTAAATCTTTCAGGAATTCTTTAAATTCACGGTGATTTAACGAGCGTGACTTTATAAAATTGATTAGCTGAATTATTGGTACTGTGACATTTGGCAAACTCAATCTTTTCGCACGCAAATTTTCCTGGTGAATTATGCAGTGGTTAACTAATTTTTTCCTTCCTTTGACCTTCTTAATGTCTTGAAATAGCCTAATGTAGTTTAAACTTTAAACTACATTAGCTTCAACCACTGAATATTTATTTCCTGTATTTTGAAGGAATGTATTGCATATTGCAATTTAGCGTCAGTCTTGTCAGAAGGCGGTTGTGTAGATGAACAGATTCCTGTTTCTCACACTGAACGTCTTTGTAATAGTAAGTATTAAAAGCTATTGCTATTTTAAGATTTATAATGATTCAGTTCTTACCATTTTCCAACAATATGTATCTATAATTGTCGGTAGCCAAGTGAGAATTATACTGTTACTTCCCAAAAACCCCTGCATATTTCTAATTATACTTTATATGCTATGCACTTATGCAAATTGGTAAATAACAAAAAAAATTATTTTTTTTTTATCTGATAAGCCGATTTAAACAAAGCTCCAGAGTATCTCTATGCAATGAAATTAAAAAACATTCATTTAGGGTGAAAAAGGTTTTGAAATCAGAAAGAATTGTATTAGAAAGAAGTGACTTGTGAATAACATACGAAATGTTCCCGCCAATATAGGGGTGGGTACATGAAGGTTATTTTTTAAATTTTGTTTCAGGAAAATTACAAAAACTACGAGTTCAAGTACACTGCTGGAATTTTCATTTTGAATTTACTGTAAAATAACCGAAAGCAGTCTGTCCATCCGATTAACTATAAAGTTTAGGGTTAGGAACATTTCTTTACCCTTACGGTTTTGAAACAGTTAACAAGAGTTACAGTTAAGAAACTGTGAATAAAAACTAGATGGCTTTGTAACCATTTACAATTAGCATAGTTTCTAAACCATGAAAATGAATTTTAAATGGACATGGGAACTCTGTTGCGCCATTCGTATTCAATGATAGTTTCGTATTTTAACAGTAAAATGTCATCGATTGAAGAGTGAAGGACAATTGAAACTCTTTATGTAAAGAAAGACTGGAAGAAATATTGTGGTATCAGTGCTGAGATTCGAACTCCTGTTCAGCCGGTCAAGAAAATGACCAATAAGTTCTCTCAGGTACAATATATGCATCCATCTGCAGGAAACAAAATGAGCTTTAGAGGCGGGCCAAGTTGGAGCGGATAGAATTGTGGTTGTTAAGCCGTATTAGGTAAAAACAGTTAATAAAGTTTTTTTCCTCGTACATAACAGTTTGAATATCATCTTTTTTTATGGTTATTTGACAGTTTTGACTTGAATATGGTAAAATGACAATTAAATAAATTGTTATTTAATCATTTTTACTGATAAATTTCTAACAATGTAAGAAATTTTCTATGTTGAACTAGAAGCTTCCTATAGAAAAAAAACTTTAAAATTTTTTTTTTATTTTATTACTTGTCTGAGAAATGCAGCATAACCCTTATTTTCCACGGAATTTAGTGGAAAGGGCACTACGAATAACAAAACTCGCCAATAATTTCTTCGCCCACATCAATGAGAGACTTGAAATGAGCAAAAACAGTACAGAAACAATTACAAAAAGTGAATACTTAATTGATTACGCTTTAGACTTTCTGTTCCGATCATAAAGACATGAGGATTGATGCCCGAACAATTTCAGGCTTTATTGGGTATACTATAGCCTACGTCACAGATCGTGTTATTCCTACTAAATTTAACTAGTAAACAGCATTTTCTGCGAACCTGATTTCTAGCAACAAGTAAAAAGCATCAAACGAAGTGTCTTGTTTATAAGTCGCTACTCGCCAGGTTGAAATTGTATTAGTCTAGTTCCTTTGGAAATAATTTATATTGTTGTTTTACCGAAGTTTATGAATTTAGTAAACATATTTAAAACTCAGTTTATTAATTAAACTAAAAGGTAAATGTTATTCCTAGTAAGTGGAAGTAGTTGTGCTTTTTTCATATTATACCCAATTAACAGCTTACCTTTTATTTGATCGTGTCAGAAACAAGTAAAGGGTTCAGTAAATAGGTGAAGTTAAATATCTTCCTCTTCATTGATTATTGAATAATTTATTTATTTTAAATGTTCTCAGAACTCATTTATTTTTCGTGAAACATTTTGCAGCTACTTTTGAAAAGCCAACAACAACAGACGAAATTATTAAAAACTGTACCCTTCACTGTCAACCGGCTTGTTTGTAAGTATTAACCTTCTGAGTTCTTTCAAATAGAGCTTTAAAAAAATGAACATTTTATATAATTTGAGTAATTTACTGTAAATAACTTATCAATTTGGACAGAGGATTATGCGACTCCAACCTTTAGTGTAAAATTACCTCTTACCTCTTGATTATAGTGTAAAATTACCTCTAATATAATCTTTTATTTTTTTAATCTTATATTTTAAAAATGAATGTAAGCTCTAAATTAAATATTAAGTATGTATTTAATACAAGTACAAGTATATATTTTATATTTGTGGTATTTTAATGCTCTATTATTGTGCTTAAGTTTATGTGACGTGGCCTGCCATCTTGAAGCTGCATGGCACATCAGAACCACTACATTTCAATTCATTTATCTTTCTATTTTTATTGCATAACTCTTTAATTTTTTTGTTGATTTCGTTTTCAACGTTTTTTTTATTATTTAAATCTTGTTTAAATTATAATATTAATAAATCAATATGAATTTGTTCGATATCTTAATAGTTTTCAATANTATTAATTAAATTTTATGTAAACTCAATAATTTGACCTACCAACCCCCCACCCCTCTTCTGGTTGCAAGCCTGCCTTAAGGACCCGTTTATTACGAGCACTCGGATTTAACGAGTACATGTTACGGTCCCTTTGTGCTCTTATAAACGAGTTCGACTGTAATAGTAAAGTTTAAAATATCAAGAAAGCAAGGAAAATATATTTTATATAAAAGCGAAGAAGAAAATTATTTATTAATAAAATGTTTTTAAAAGTATTAAAAAAATTTTAAAAAATAAAAATAAAAAAGAAATGAAATTATCAGTCCAAAATCAACAAATCAAATGCGGTTCAGTACTTCTGTAAGAACGTGTCATAAAATACATTCCTCAATTTACGCTATAAATAACTGCAACTTTGAAAATTTATTGTTTGGAAGTGGTCCTTTTTTTGAGGATTGATTTCACCTCTGACACAGAAAAAGACACTGATGGTGTTTCATGTAGTATTTTATTACCATCATTTATTAAAATACTAAATAAAATATTTTTCACTTACTTTTCTTAAATAATACAAAATAAGGAAAAAATAAGCAATATTCTATTTTTTTATATAATAGTAATATTCTTTTAGGAAATTTGATACTTTCGAATCATGTATAAACAACAAACAGGTTTCAAATGCAAATTTTGTAGTGATGTTTCCTTTAAAATAGCTTAGAGTATTCTTCAAGTAATATTTTATTGCATGATTTATAATATTTATAATATGTAATTGCATAATAAATTTATTGTTTATTTATTTTTTAAAGTGAGAGAATATATGAAGTTGAATATCGAAAACTAACAATTCCAGCCTCAGATGTAAGATATTTAATATTGTTTTTCTATTTTATTTTTGTGTTTATTTGTGTTTGTTTTGTGTATTCCTTTATAACAAGAATCATGAAGATTTTGCACTTGTTTTCAACCTTTAAAAATTAAAACAATGTTTGTAAATTACATAATAAAAACTACATGGAATAGTTATTGCCAAGGATAGGATGTTAATGATTACATTTTTACGAATTCATCTTTCAAATTACATCTTCCGTATTTAACAAATCAATAATTGTCTTGTCCTCAGTGGAACATTATTCATGGCTCATCGGGTGATTTTCAGGATTCCCCCTTTTTTAATCATTTTTTTTTATCAATTTTGAATGATTTTTTAAAATTTTTTATTTCATTTTATATTTTATAACCGTCGTTGAACAGCCGAACCAATTTTTGGATTTACGACTACTAATGTTCAACTTCGTAGCCTTGCCATTTTGAACCCAATTCAGAAGACAAGGGAACTCCAGGATTAAGTGTCGGGAGAAATTTGACTTCATTGAGGATTTTACTTGGAACTAATTTGCATGGAGTTACATAGAGAGGAAGACCACGAGAACCTCCCACGGGTCCGTACTGTGGTTGGTGCAAGTCGGATGCGGTTTCGCATCGACCAGCTATGGTTGGGATTCGAACCCGGTTTCCCTCATTGGAATTAAATCTTGTTATTTAAAATGTATCGCAATAACAAGTGTTGAAAGTGTTCCAACTGTTGAACAGAGGTTTTATACGTATAAGAATAAACTTTTTGACAATAAGCAATCCTTCAATTTCAAGGACATCAAAAAACGTTTGATAATGTAGTGCAATTGTGATGTTCTTGTAGATTTCAACAAAAAATTAAAACCTTTTTCATTTCTCTTAAAATGGTTATTTCTTTTATTTTGAGATTGCATATTTATTTGAATTATTACCTTATATTTTATCAAATTTATGAATACAAGTTACGATTTATACATTTTCTTCTTTTTTATAAAAATGTAATATAAAACATGTTATTGAAAACTCTCGGAGGTCTTATGGTATTTAGATATATCTTTTGTGTGCAATTTTTAGGGAATTTTTTAAGAATTTTTAGGTCATCAGCCACTCAAACCTAGCTATTGTATTTCATATCCAATAAAACGTTAAAAAAATGCAATCTAATGTTAAAATAAAACGTAGGAAACGAACAACATGCCCTCTCACATTTCCCTTCTGTTCAAGAAAGTGCTCCAACTGTTGAAAATTTTATACAGCCTCTCTATATTTAAGGGAATATGCCGGCAAATCCATTTATATAATCGAAAACTAAATTTTCCATTAGCTGAACACATTTATTTTATTTTATAACCCTCATTGAACATCAGACTCCTTAACCTAGCAATTCTGATTCCAATCCAAAAGACAAGGAAACAGATCAGTCGTCCCAGAGGTATGATTTGTTATAGGAACATGGAGGGCTTTGAGACACGACAGATTTAGCGTGCATCAGTCACCATTTACTACAAGGGGAGTCTTCTGCCTGCGGGATCGAACTCACGACCTCTTGGACTTGGACCCAGGAGCAAATATATTGTAAAATTTGGTACAAAGATTACGATAATATATATATATAAGTTCAAAATGAAGATAAAACAAAGAAAAATTATAGACATATGAAAAAAAGGGGGGGGGGAAATAGTAAGTAAAAAAATAACAAACAACATTTTATTAAAAAGAAG